AAAAATGAGCATTCTCTTGATTTGTAATACTGACTTTTCTTTTACTATTACATTCATTTTATACACATAATGCTATTAATTGATAGAAAATATTATTTCTAAGGATGCAACAAAGATATTATTATTATAAACATATTTAATAACTTAAAAACCAGAATTTATTTAGGTCAACATTTGAAATACAAATATATATTAATATACTGTAGAATATTTTATTTTCGCTTAGAATTCATTTTTGCTATTTTCACCTAAGGAATGATTCTGTGAAAATAAAATCCAGCGAATATACTTTTAAACTCATCAAAAATCAGTGAAAATAAATTCTATCTAAAACGCCCAAAAACCTTTTCAGCGAAAATTAATTCCAGCGAAAATAAAGTATTCCACAGTACGTAATATATGACCAGAAAACAGTTGTTGTGTATTTGGTAAATACTACTCAATAAGACATTAACTCACCTCATGAAACATAAATGATGACAACGCTACAAGACAGATGTTATATGCAAACATAAAATACTTCAAGTCATACGCTTTCTTGTTTTTCATCATATGTGGGCCCTTCCATACTATTAATAAATACAACGCTGAGAGGGTGTAAGGCAGTACAGGTGATGACATCATCGGCCAATCTTTCACACGAGGATCTGTATTACAAATAATAATAATATTAATAATAATAATAAATACAAGTTGATATAGCGCCTAGTATCCAACACAGTGATGCTCACTGATGCTTAGTTTCACAGATAGGCTTGCTGAAACAGGTAAGATTTGAGTTTGGTTTTGAAGATGTTCACATTTAGAGCAGAACAGATGACATAACAGCCTTGCCCCTTTTAGAATCTAGAATAAAATCACTCCATTTAATTTTACCAAGTAGTATTTGACCAATTTTCAGGATTTATTGGCTACTAGAATGCTGACTGATTACAAAATTGTGCTTTTAGTTTTCCAAAATGCCATCCATCTTAGATTTGTCTTTTTTGGACCTCTGGTTTAATACTAATTCGAGATTCTACCAACATTACTTTATTATTCAGTCATGACATATGGACTACTGCACTTCTAATTTAGAATCACATCTTGGAGAATAATACTACTAACATTCGGTTTTCAGTGTATATATTAACGCAAAACTTCTCAGATCTGTGCATTTTTCTATGACATTTATGAACCAAGTTTCATTGTAATGTGATGATTAGTACTTTGTAATGTGATGATTAGCCAGAAATTGACTAATCATTATGTAAATTAGGGAATTAATATGCATGGATTTTTATCCAAAACTAATCACCAAGTAGAGTAAAGTTCTTGATAGATATCAGTGGAACAGTCATGGAACAGCTAAAAATAGCTAATTATCATGTAAATTAGCCCAGAGCAACTATGCATCAAGTTTCATCAAAACAAACACATGGTTTTTGAGATATCCGTGGAACAGACAGACACGCACACACATACAGACACACTAAATGTAAGGACTCCTATTGTGCGCTTTGCACCTAGGAGTAAAATATTCCCATGTTTCTCAATTAATAAATAATATGGCTAAGTAAAATTTGGAGGGGAAAATATTGGCCAGCAAATTGAAGGGAAAAGTACTCCACCATCTAATACCAAATCTTCTACAGCATAAATACAAATGTTTCATTTTAGCAAAATTTTAGCCATGATTTGAAAATTATACATGTTGGTCACATTAAATTGAAGTTAGTAGACATTTTATTATGATTAATAAGATGTTATTGCAACCACAAGAAAAAAGTAGAAGCTGATGTGCAACTCATAAAACTTCATACTTGTCTAGCTTTAACCCTTTCACCACCAGGTTACTTTTTTCATCACAAATTCACAAAGTAGTCCCATTTATAGTCTGCACTCTCTTTCAGAAGATTGGGACAAAAATAGCTATAAATATTTTAGGAGAAAAATTAAAATTGACTCAAATTGTGTCTGTTGGCTCTAAAATTGGGGTTAATTTCCAGAAAAAATGCAGAAAAATTTGGGTGAGAAAATCAGGTGATAAAAATGATACATGAAACATATCAATTACCTTGTTTACTTTCAGCCCAGGCGACAAACTCTTTTATGTGTTCTATCAGAGACGACATGTTTAAAGACACTGAAAATATAATAATGAAACTATCATTGTTAATTTTACAATAACCTTTTAAGTTAATCATCTGCCATCTTCTATAATAATGGCATCATGGTAATTTAATGCACAATCTAGCCATCAAGCAGGCCTAGCCGAACATAAGCCATGCAGATCTTAAACTATGGGTCTGGGTGTATGTAAGGAAACATAATAACAGGATTTCAGTATGTAAATCACACTCCACTGAATGTAACAGATTGGTCGTGCACCGTGCAGGATTTCAGTATGTATATCACACTCCACTGAATGTATCAGATTAGTCGTGCACCGTGGAAACTAAATTTAATCAAAGTGTTATTCCAAACTGTTAGAGACAATTATGTCATTTCAAGGTAGACAATGATTTAATTAAATCCGATCAGATTTTTTTTTGGAATGGCGGGAACAAAATACGGGCGCATGTTCAAATTTGTATTTTACACACATTGTATACGTTTCTATGGGTCTCATATCAAACACGATGCTGCGACACAACCACTGTCTTTAAATTCAATTTTTTTACTGAACATTAAAGGAAACATCAATCCAAACAACATAATAACCCTTAAAGAAAAAGCTCCACAAATGTAGCAGAATGCAATTTACAGTTTTTTTATATCACTTTTCATTCTCCAGATATTCAACTTTTCCTCAGTATTATGTAGTCAGCCATCTTGATTTTCAAGCAAAGGATTATGGGTAAAGTATGATATCATGTCATCATGTACTGGTGCCATCCATGTTTATAAAATAGTTGTCATGAAAACAGAACTGAAAATATTTATTTTTATGTTTTTCTACCAAATGCTCAAATTTCCTTATATTGTATACAATTTACCAATGTGAGTAGGTTACATAGGTGATATATTACATGTTGACCACAAAAAGGGGACAAAAAAGTGTCATTCTATATTTCATGACTAAAATATCGATTTTAATTTTTTTAACGTTTTTAGCAATATCTTCACTTTATGTGTATTTGTAATATTCTAATTTCCATTACTATAATTATATACATGAGTAATATGCACAACGACAATTTGAACTAATTCGCATCAGTATTTCTCATGTTATAGATGATATAATTTTCTCAATTTCTGACAACAGATTCTATGATGTCATACTTTACCCATAATCCTTTGCTTGAGAATCAAGATGGCTGACTACATAATACTGATATACAGGTGAATATCTAGAGAATGAAAATTTATATAAAAAACTGTTAATTGCATTCTCCTACATTTGTGGAGCTTTTTCTTCAGGGGTCTTTGTGTTGTTTGGATTGATGTTTCCTTTAACTCAAACAACCAGTTAACTCCATCTAAAAACCTTGATCATGATGCAGAAAGCGTTAAATCCAAGAAATAGATTTAAATCAGATTTAAATCATATATCTTACATTTTGTATTTATCGCACATAATGCTACCTTCTGATCGGTTCACTTCACTTAGTATACTCAGCTGGAGGCACCAAAGCAAAGAAAACAGATGGATCAGACATGAATGTCATGCAAATCTCAATTAATATGTTTGACTACAGCCACCTTAAATGGCTATAATTGCAATAATATAATGAATTTCACAGACATCTAACCTACATTTATTTATTTATTTTTTATTTATTTATTTATTTTATTTCACCAGAATGACCATTATAACAGAACTCATAAACAAAATACAATAGTAGTAATTCCGGCGTGGACCATGGAAATAGTCCTTATGGACTAGTCCAGTCCATGGCCCAGACTGTCAAGTAGATATTTACAATTTACTGGTAAAGGAAAGGAAAATTACTATTTACATAACGAAAATTAAAAGGTAATCTATATGATTTAGATATAAATATGACTAAAAAATTATGTGTAATAATAATATAATCGAACTGCTGGTACAACAAACTTTTATGCAGAAGAAAAGAAAAAAAATAATTTAAAGGAAATGGGAGGTAATCGAGGAATTTAACAAAGCAAATAATGTTTCATTTCATATTTAAATTTGTTTTTGTTGGTTATGTTTTTGAGGGAGTCTGGAAGTGAATTCCAGTGTTTTACTGCAGCAAATTTAAAATTATGTTGTGAAACTGTAAGTTGAGCAAAAGGAATTTACAAGTTACCGCTAGACACTGAACTTGTGGGATAGCAAT